TTCTTCTTCCTGGCTTGCTGCCGCCCGCCATCGGCGACTGGCCACAGGCTAGGGCTAGCGAGGCCTCACCCAGCCATGGCGAGCCCGACCTCACCGTCGCAATCGGCAGCCGGCAGCGAGGGCCGCAACGCCCTCACCGACCCTGGCTTGTGGCCGGTCGCCGGCGCCGACAACCGGCCATGGCCAAGGAAGGAAAGAAAAAAAAAGAAAGAAATATTAAAAAATTCAAAATATATTAAAATATTATTAATAAAAAGAAATTTTGTGTAGTTACCAAATGCATTTTTATTTTTTTTTCTATTCTAGTAATATAAATTTTGAGCAGTTACCAAACGCCTTCAAATACTTAGAAATTTTTCCCGGACACATAATTAAAAAGAATTATTTTTTAGCAGAATCGTTGCTATGCGCATCCTTATATTCCTAATCTGACTTGGCGTTGGACTCCAAAGGTGACCGTGATAGAAAAATAAGAAAAAATGGAAATCAACTCCTTGAAGTCGGTCCAAGAAGAGCAAATAGGGAAATTAAAGAAAATTTACTTTTCGTGGGATTCCACCGAGATTGCTTTCGGCCACTTATATATTTGTATTCTTGGGTTTGAGATAAAGACGCCGTTGTTAAAGCAGAGGTCCTGAAGCGCCGTTTACGAGTGCTTGACAGTGAGCTATCTTCATGGTTTTGTTCATGAATTACATCCATGAAGTTAGTGTTGAAGCCGATTAAATCTTGTGGTAAGATTTATGTATAATACCTTCGCGAGATTGAGAGATTATTTCGTGAGGAATTATGAGGCTAAACATTGCGTGAGTTATTTGGTGTAATTAAAGCTTGAGAAATACTTAAAATGTTTGAGTGACTCGAGTGTGGTTGTAATATCTGTTGTATCGCTTGATATATAGTGAATTTCGTACTGCTCTCCCCGTGGACGTAGATCACTACGATCGAATCACGTAAATCTGGTGTCTGATTTATTTTCTTTATTCTATTTATTTTATTATTCGATCACTTGGCTTTCGCAATATATGAGACTACTAGTCTACCACCATGGGGGTAGTGGCAAGCTCTTCCATTTAGAGAGAAAGCTTCCAAAAGAGGAAGAGGGCGGTAAAAGGGTACATTGCGGATGATTTAACAAGACAAATTATTTGCCTGCCTAGTACCTGCTACCAGATGATTTCATGTATACTGGAATAGATTATAGAAGCTATTTCCTATATTGCTGTTTGTCGCATATACTGATTGTTTACTTTGGAATATAAGAAGCTATATTGAATTTAACTAAAACCTAAACAGTTCTAACTTAAGTAAACTTTGTGTTCGACAAAGATTGAAATCAAATAAAGTTTGATAATTTTAAATGAGACTATAATTAAAATTTGGACAAGTTTTACTCGAAACTTGATAACAAAATTAATAAGAACAATAAATTTTAAAGTAAACTTAATGAGAAAGTGATCATTGGAAGTAAACAAAAAATCAAGTGATTGTACTACCATTTATATGGAGTTTAATTAAAAACTAAGATAAAAGATAATAAAAAAATCGATAGAGATTTAGTTAAAAAGGTAAATGGCGATCGTTTCGAGTGAACAGCTATGGTTCATAACCACACTAGATTAGGGAAGATTCTAACAAATTTTTGCGATTTGGCCACAGTTCACGACCGACCAACTTCGCAATCCTGAACTTTACATTGATGGATGTTGAATTATGTTTCGAGTTTGAGCCGTTACGGAATTCGATCCCGTTGGATAAATATTAAACGATATTGACACTACACGACAAGATGGAAGGGGCACACATATGTTCTCTTATTTTATAATGGCATGTGGGCCCATGTCCAAGTCAAAAGGATTGACTCCCATAAGACAAAGTGAAAGACTTGGGGTCTATCTTAGCCGCACAAAATAGGAGAGAAAAGGCTTTTACTTGCGCATGTCTCTTCCTCATAGTGTGCTCTACGTTGTCACGTAAGGGGTAACTGTAGCCGCAGGGAGCCTTTGGAGTTCTAACGAGAGACAACACAGTGGGTCTTTCCTTCATGCTTCAGCTTCCAAGCTTGCGCCGCACAGTAGCTCTCCATCCTTGGGACGCCGCGCAAAGGAAATACTAAAGTCGAGGAAGAGCATTTCATGTGGGTGGATAAGAAAGCTCTAAGCACATGGATTTGTGTTGTAAGTTTTTATTTTATCCATTTGAGTTGTTTATTTGTAAATAAGTGGGGTCATGAGTTTAATCTAGGTGCGGAAAAAACTCGAGCGTGTGAGTGAGCGATTGTAACTTGAATTCTCTGATTATTAGTTGATTATTTACTGCTGACTCTCTCCGTGGATGTAGGCACCGATACGTCGGACCGAATCACGTAAACCTTGGGTGTCCTTTATGTTCCTTGTTATCTCTCTGGTAATTTCGTATTTGACTTAATTTGCAAAATCCGGGTTAGCTTCCGTATTAGTTAATATTACAACAATGGACTCTTGTGATGTCGATCCCGATCCACTTGACTCCTTTTATGTCCATCCCGATCCACTTGGCTCTGATAGACGATCCTTGACCTTATGGCTCAAATAAAACAGTCGTTGGTCAATTGGTTATCATACCAACTATTGAGTTATTTCGCGCAGCTTTGGTCTAAACCGTTGGGACCTAGTGCACCGATGACAATAGTCAATAAGGAACCCTGCTCGTAATTGGGAATCCAGATCAAGTATGATTTGTTCGGGTCAATGGTGGTGATACAAGAAAATTATATTAAACAACTTGTTCTATGTTTATACTAAGATGCGGTAAAAATATAACACTCAAATAAAATATCTTTTTACATGACAAATTTTACATGCATTTTTTTTGTAACAAATAACATGAGACCTGACCGACCTATTACAATATGTTCGGAAAAGTGTTAGAAAAGTCCTAAACCTTTTGCATTGGTGCCAATTTAGTCATAAATATTTTTGTTGCTGATTAAGTCATAAACCTTTTGTCTTTGTGCCAATTCAGTCCTTCCAGCGAATTTTGACCGGATATTGCTAACGTGGACGCAGCCGGTCCTATGTGGCACCGTCGGCACTAACATGGACAAATTTTAATAATATTTTAATTTTTTTTGGATTTTTAAAATTTTTTTCGGATTTTTTTATTTTTTTCCTCCTTTCTTCTACCTTTGGCCGGTCCAAAAAACTATTAAAATATTATTAAAAATTATCCACGTCAGTGCCAACGGTGCCACGTAAAACCGACTACGTTCACATCAGCAATATCCGGCCAAAATTAGTCGGAAGGACTGAATTGATACAAAAATAAAAGGTTTATGACTCAATTGGCAGCAAAAAAATGTTTATGACTAAATTGGCATCAATGCAAAGGGTTTATAACTTTTCTGACACTTTTCCCACAATATGTTCATTATCATACTTGGAGCAAACTTGACATAGCTACACCTTGCGCTTTGTCAAGCAAGTCTGTTTCCTGACCAACCAACCAACTTCACAAACTTAGACCCCGCATCATTGGACTCCTCCTAGGTTGATCCTAGTCCAGTTGGCTATGGTATAGTCGTCCGGCTCCAATACTCACTAATGAATTATTTCACGCACTTTTAATGCCGCATGTTGGAATTTGGCTCACTAATACCAATAATGTGGTGATGAGCTTTGTCACTAATTTCTTGTTTAGCTTAAATATTATTTGTTCAGCGTTATCGTGGTTGTATAATAAAGTCGTACAGACAACATAAGACACATTTGTCTTGTTAAGTACAATATGTATAATTTGAATTGACTCATAAAGAAAGACTTTTAGTGTCACGACATATTTTAGCATTGGAACTCCAGCTTTCAAACCCGCTCAAATGGAAGTAAAATCAAGATGGGTCACTTCTTAGGAAAGTGCTTTATCTATACACCAAAGGACAAAATTATGAGGTTTAATAAGAGATAGGCATAAACGGATCATATTTTGAGTGAGTTAAGTTAGAGTTTCAGATAATGGTGTGACATCCCCAAATCTGACCCTATTCAAGATGTAATGAATGGTTAATTCATCAATGCGCAACTAGTAGAATTAGACTCTGAATCGATTCAAGAATCATTCAAGAGTATTCCAAGCTACGGGAAAGGCAATTTAGGACTTCGATGCGCACGACCAAAGAACTCAATCATGGATTGACAATTCGACCATAAGGATCAATGAGGGATCCTCATAAGCCATTTCAAGTCGATCCAGGAATGGTTATAGCTCGATTCAACAATAGTATAGAATCAGATTGCGGGTGATTCCGCACGATTACTGTATTGATTCCGAACGACACTAGACCAATCCCTAATGATCATATACTTCAAAACGGGCAATTGACCCCTCTCCATTACATGACAACCGAGGGTCATCCATGAATTGAAAAGGTTTCAACGTAGATTGATTTGGAATTAACTACGGGTTAAACGCACGAAATCTCTAAGAGCCGCTCATAGTTCTAATTATGCGAAAGATAGTGTGACAACCCAGGCGGCGGTGCGCGGGGAGGAGGGATGACGATGCGTCCACGCCTCGGTCCTCGGACGTGTGTAGGGAAGGGAGGGGGAGCCTCTCTTGTCCCACATCGCCTAGAGGGGGAGTCCTGGACTGGCTTATAAGGCTTGGGGTTCTATAACTGTGTAATGCGTTTTAAAGCCGTGAGGGTTAGTGGGTCCAAAGCGGATAATATTACACAGTGTAGACCCGGGGTGTTACATGTGGTACAAGAACCGACTCCCGACCGCGTGTGGGGCCACAGCGAGAGCGTTGTGCCTGTAAGGGGTGGAGAGTGTGACCGCCCAAGCGGTCGTGCGTGGGGAGGAGGGATGGCAGTGCGTCCGCGCCTCGGTCCTCGGACGTGCGTAGGGAAAAGAGGGAGAGCCTCTCTTGTCCCACATCGCCTAGGGGGGAGTCCTAGACTGGCTTATAATGCTTGGGATAGTGGGCCTAAAGTGGACAATATTACACAATATAGATCCGGGGTGTTACAAATGGTATAACACTCGAGTAAAATAGTGTCTCGTACAACACTTGTACACCCCATTTGCGATAAAGTAAGACCTCACTGACCTATTACAAATCATTCGCTCTCACCGCATACAAATTTCTCTAGTGAACGCACTCTATTTTATCTCCCTCTCTTGCCCAAACGAAGCCTGTTCTCTTTTCTCTAGAGAATCTCTCTGGCTCACTTCAAATGCTCCCTATGTGCTGTAAAAGTTACTGCTCTAAAAGGGCTAGCATTTCTGACCAAAAAAATAAAAAATAAAAGGGCTAGCATTGCTCCAAATTCGGCTCCATGAAAAGCCTGCGCGACTGAAATTGTTGAAGAAACAACAAAAACTCAACTTCATCTTCTCTTCTCCCGGACAAAATCATGACAAATAGCCTTAGGAATTGGGGTTCATTTTTCTAATCCAAGTGCCTTGGAATGCTGCCAAAAACCATTCGAACCTTAAATCATGCTTCCCCCCGGTTTTTCACTAAGAGGCTTTTGCGTACGGCAAGTACTGCCGGGTTCAATGGAGTAGGGGAAAATTTTAGACAGGAGGCAGGACACTCTGGCCATTCAAACCATCTTAGCTGATGAGGGAGAACAATAGAACGTGGAAAACTAGTCTTGAGCGTGACGTTAATCATTATGAGATATCTCAAATTTGTCAACTTTGCAAACGGATTAGAACCAATTTTTTCTATCTCTACCGGCTTTTTTGGGGCCAACACTATGGCTTCTACGTCATATTGCCCCTGCACACAAAAAAAAACGATGGTTTTATTATAACTAGTTAATGAAATACTACTCGAATCCAAGCTCACAATTTTTGATTGGGCAAGGAAAAACAAAAATCATGATGTTAATATCAAGTACTCTTACCTCGTCTCTTGATAATACCTTGACGACTTCTTCACAGCGCCATAATCTGCTACGTTTCGCGAGATTATGACGATGCTTTCCGTCAGCAATTTTCTGCCCCATCAACTTAATCAAGCGATGCACTTGTATGGTCCCATTCTCATCCCTTATCAAGGATTTTTCCATGAGATCATTTACTATACCATCAACTTTACTATCTGGGACATCATAACAGCTGTCATCGTAACGACTTTCACCATAACAATTGTCAGCATAACAACTGCGAAGAAGACCTTCAACGTATTTTCTATTCCATCCATCGAAGAAGCAAGCAATGTCTAGAAAAATGTCCTTAGTAATATCATCCAATCCATGTAAGCTTTGTTCAAGCGCAGTATGGATGGTTGGGTGAGAGCTTCCGGCGAATTGATCCAGTTCTCTTTTCCATATAGATGCATCCTTAGCAAAGAAGGTAGAACCCAATGCCTTCAGGGCTAAAGGATGGCGTTGAGTATAATGCAGAGCTTCATCTACAAGATCTACCGTTATTTCTTTGTTTCCGTTTCCCGAAGCGTACTTCTCAAAAAGTTCACGAGCCTCAGCAGCCTCTAGAGCCTTAACTTCATGGATGATAGCTTTAATCTTGTCGAGCACATTCTTATCTCTTGTTGTAACAACGATCCTACTTCCATAACCAAACCAATTGTGCTCTCCAGCTAACGCTTCTATTTGACATATGTGATCCACACCGTCAAGAATAAGGAGAACTCTTTTGTGACAAAGTCTCTCCTTTATTAAATTAATTCCTTGACGGCAATTGGTCACTCTTATTTCTTCACTCGTTAATGTAGATAGCAACTTTTCTTGCAAACTTTCCAAGATTTTGGAATCACTCGAAATTCCATCGAGAAAAGCGGAACCATCAAACTTTTCGAAAATAGAGTTAAAAAGGGCTAAAGCCAAAGTTGTCTTCCCCATACCTCCCATGGCCCATAATCCAATCGTGAGACCTTCGTCCTGAACTTCGTGCGGAGACCTCATCCTCATTTTTGATATCAGGTGGTTCACTCGTGAAACCAAGCCAACTGGATACTCAGCAACATGACAGGATATCCGAGTTAGCCGTATCGAGATCTCCTTTACAATGAACTTCACGAGCCTTGCTTCAGTTCTGACAGAAAAGAGAGAAGAAATCGAAACTCAATTCACAACTTATTTCGTTTCCAAAACTTTCCAGTTCTCAGTTTAAACTTCATCCTGAAACTGCATATGACATGGATGGGCTTCGGTTCATGATTCATTGGCCATCGGGTGTTAAATGCTGGTTCGCCTACTTTGATTTTCTAGATATTACGACTTAGGGATAGGCATATATTTGCGGGGTTATTTCTATACAGATATTAAAACAGGCAAAATAACAGTATTGAGACAATACGATATTTCCTAGATTTTAATTGAGTAGAATAATGACCTAATATAAATTAGTAGAATGACAACCTATTCTATTGTTCGAACCCACAAACAGCTGTATTTATTGAGATCCCTAGTTTTATTAAAGGAGTACCACGACTATGCATAAAAATATCCTAGTTTTTACTTAAACAACATAATGACGCTAATTTATCTAAAGGGCCAAATCCACCAAAAACCCCAAACTATGCTCACTGTGATACATTTACCCTAAACGTTTTTCTGTGACACTAAAAATCTCAAACTTGTATCTATGTGACACATTTACATTCCGTCAAGGTTCCGTCAATAAACATCATTAAAAATCTGCCTATATGGACGCAAGAAAGCTAACAAAGTTGGCATGGCGCCCATGTGGCTTAAATGAAATAAAAACGACGTTGTTTTGTCTAAACAATCATTTAACGGAACATTTACGGAGGGTAAATGTGTAACATAGGTACAAGTTTGTGGTCTTTTATATCATAAGACAAAGTTTTGGGTATAACTTGGGGTTTTGATGTCAAAAAAAAGTTCAAGATAAATGTATCACAATATGTATAATTTGAAGGTTTTTATGGCTTTTTCCCTTATGTAAAATATAACTTTCAGAAAACCCACTCGTCCTCCCCGCTTTCTAATTGGATGAGGGTCCCCGTCTTGGACTCCACGATGACCCTGAAAAACAGTACCAAGAGTTAGTACCAATTCTTATAGAGCAAAATTCTAGATGAAATGAGGGAGATATCTTCCTACTATGCAAAATGAGTGACCGGAGAGGTTGATTTACAAACAAATATATGCATCAAAAGGAGAATGATTGGAAATATGCCCCTCATGAAGCGAAGTGTTGTAAAAATTATACAAAATGTTGAAGTATTGTCCCATATATCACTTGACAACATGTCTTATATGCTCTTTATATTAATGTGATCTTCTACTTGATAGCTTAAGCTTTTAGGTGGGACTTTCCTAATACAAAAGGATTATGTCAGGAATACACTAGTGACAGTGATGACGAGGGGTAACTAATTAATTACTGTTGCGAGTGTGCTATGAATCGTACTTGGTATCAGCCATGTTTTTTGTGCTCTCAACTTAAAATACTCTTCCTGTGATGGAGTTAGACGAACCCAAAAACTCTCTGTGTTTCCATCTATTTCAAAAGATTGAAATAACGTAATACTTTTTCCTAAGCGACGACATCAAAGGAAGCGATCTGCAATAGCAAACACCAGACGAATTGAAGTGGACTAGCAGCTGCTTACCCCTTATTGTAAACCCACCCTGACAAACCTCCAGCGTGGAAAAGAGCTTTCTCCCATTTCTCCACATCCTTCAAATCGAAGCCTACGGCCTTACCGCTCTTGCACTTGTTTTTGTATGCATCGAAAGCATTTTTGTAACTCTCTCTTCCTCCTCTTACTTCTCTGGGGTCCACTTTGAAAAACACAGGCAGAACCAAGAGGCCGTTGGTCTTCCTGCACTCCATGATCTTGGCTACCTCTTTTAGACACCATGACGAAGTGGCGTATTGCTCGGAGAAAACGATGAGTGCGATGCGTGACTCCTCGATCGCATTCATAAGCCCATCTGATATCCGCTCTCCTTTCTTGAGTTCCTGGATGTCGATATATGTGTATATTCCTCTCCCATCTAGAGCATCGTAGAGATGACTGATGATGTTGTCACGGCTGTCCGGGCCTCTGAAACTCAAGAAGACGTGATATTTCCTCCTGGGTTGCGAAGCAGAGGCCATTGGAAGCGCCAAAAATAGGAGGTCAAGAATGAGCGATTCTCTACTGTGTTTGAGGTGGTTTGTTCACCATTCGCTCTTGTTGATAGATTCTCATTCGATGAGAGAAATGTATCCCGATCTCTAAAGTATGCCGATGGGTGACTTTCTGCTTTTCGGTCAACGAAGAACGAAGATCTTATTCATGAGAAAATATTAGGTACTCACAACGAGAAAATATTGGGTGAGTTTAACACTCCATGTAGGATTTGCAAAAAACCACCCACAAATTGACACGTGGCAATCAGGGCCCACATGTCAGGGAAAAACTTGTCTCTCTCCTCTCTCTCACGCGCTCTGCTCTCCATCTCTCTGCAACCCCACGCTCAACCCCCCCTCTCTCTCTAACACCTTCGGTCATGTTCTGACAAGCCTTCTTCAGTTCATCTCTCCTTTGAACTCAAGTCCTTACAGCTTTCTAGCCAAAAAAAAAGTACTTCAAGCTTGACTCCGCCATCTCCGCCAGCACCCTATCCATGCCTAACCTCCCCGACCGCCGCGCCTTCCCCCTCTTCCTCCGCGGCCGCAACCGGCGACCTCGACGACGGCGAAGAAGCACTCCCGAATCTCGTGGTCGATCCAGAAGCTGCTGCGTTCGGTCTTCAAGCCGAAGACGAGCTCTACCCCGGCGTTCGCCGTCGCCGGTCTGTACTCGCCCGTCGTCGGCGATGACTACGGGTTTTACGTTGGGTACGACAAGTCCGGCACGTTGTCCACGATTCCGGAGTCCCCGGAGTTTGAATATCTCGGGAAGTTGTCGCCGGAAATGGATCGGAGGCGATGGCGACTAGAAAGAGCAGAGCTGGTCGTGCATCGGGCATGAGCCAAGGTGTTAGAGAGAGAGGGGGGTGAGCGTGGGGTTGCAGAGAGATGGAGAGCAGAGCGCGTGAGAGAGAGGAGAGAGAAAAGTTTTTTCCCTGAGATGTAGGCTCCCGATTGCCACGTGTTAATTTGTGGGTGGTTTTCTGTAAATCCTACATGGAGTGTTAAACTCACCTAATATTTTCTCACAACGCCCTTCTTCCTTGTTCAAAGTCAAAGGCCACATCTTTGAATACCAAAGTTCTGTCAAGACTCAACCTTTAATTAGCTTCTGAAACACCCAATTTCACCTTCCTTTTGAATCAGATTCCTTTTGTTTCTGACTATGAATGGGTAGTTAGTAGCAAGCTCTCATTCACAACTTCCACGACAGTTTCTTCTGTTCTTCTGTCCATCTTCAATGATATTGGTGCATATAGTGGCAAAAAACGAAAAAACTATGCCCTCCATCTCTGTCCTTTAAAGAACAGTTTTACCCTATCTTATTCATTAAAGAAAATAGTATCAGTCAAAGGTATACTGAATATTTCTGGGAAGGACATCAAATTCGTGTTTTTGACTTTATGTTAGTATATATAGATAACACTTAGGATTTCAATAGAACTTTAATCCACAGAAATTCAAGAATTCTAATTCCTCATAATTTGCAAAAGCTAATTCCCTCTTGTGGATTACTATGATTCCGGAAAGTACTTTTATTGCGAATATATTAAGTTTATGTTCATATTTTGAGATCAATAAAAAAAAAAATTTGGTCAAAGAGATCAATAATTTCGAATGTACTTCTATTGTATTTTAGAGGATGAGTAGCAATAGTAAGGATTTTCGCACGAGGGCAGTCTCGTCTCTTAAAAAAATTGTGCTAATCTTGTGTGTGAAAACAGCAGTTCTCCTAGTATCAAGGAAAGTGGGTGGGTCTTTTTCTTTGGGGCCACAGAAAAAAAAAAGTCGTGCAGTGTTGATTAGAAGAGCTCTCGTTATCTCAGTATGACAATTTTTTCTCTATTGATTCGATTTGTCTAATCGAATAAGTTGACAGTCAAGAATCATATCAATAATTTAAATTTGTCAAGCTAGATATAGATTGATAATTCATTGACGGAAAATAGTGACCACGCGCTTATAGTCGTTGCCTTCATGCGGTGGAAATTTCAATGCACAAAAGAATCAAAGGGGATCCCTGCCAAGAAAGAAGACAATATCTGAGGAAATTTCCATGCAGAAGCAATGGAAAGAAATAAAACCAAACATGAGAAACAAGTGCTGTCATATCATACGTCAGACATGTGGCCAGAATAGATTAATACTAACAAGCGTAAGGACCGTGATGACGGCAACATTTTAGTCTAACACCTTCCAAGCCGGTAAAAACCGGTACAACTAGAAAAAAGCTCCTCCCTCTCTTCCCTCGCGGCCATCAACATTGTCAGCAAAATCTCCGCTGCTCAGTCCCTGTATATATTGGTCTCCCCCCCTCAATCCCAGCAGAAGGCAGCAGATAGAGAAGGCACTAAACGCCAAAATGAACATGCGATCAAGCCAAGCCCATCTCTGGCCTGATCACACCCACGATCATCTCCTGAAACGTTTAGTCTAAGGGCTGCACCGTTTACATGTTAATACACAACCGAAAGTTCATATTCTCCATGACAAAAGTTAAAAGTCCAGGACAATTTTAATGGCAAGTGCAAAGTTTAAGATTCCGTAGAACATTAGGCTAGTATAATTTGGAAAATTCACTTTTTCGAACAAGAAATTGTTAAAAGAAAATGAGAATTGTCTAGATTTTTGTCACGTCCCGAACCCCAACGAACTCGCGACACCCCTCAAAGGTCATATTGAACGCGACGTCCCAGGACGCGTCGCCGACCCAGACGAAACACGCGAAGAAAAACGCAAGCGGAAGTAGAAATAAAACAATCCAGACAAAAGATAATGACAAAAAGATAGCGCAAAACAATAATTTCATTTATGCCATAACAACCCAGGCTACTAACGAATAAACCGCGTTTAGCAAAAGGGGACGGTGGTTGGATAGTCTACTACATTATACAAAAAGGGGGCATACAAGAAGGGAAGCAACATCGATGTCCACTACCACTTCCGGTCTCCGAACCGCATATGACGATTGTTCGCCACTTCAAGCCTGAAAATGTTTAACAACGGGAATGAGATAAATCTCAATAAGCAGACAACCTAAACCCCACCTAGGCCAATGCGTACCCAGACAAGTCTCAACATGCAATCTAACCATCGACGTACTAGAAATCACATAAACATACTTACCTCGCTTCTAATCATGCGCCAACTCTGCATATTAATCAAATCACTATAAGCAATAATATTCCAAGAACACATCACAATCACTCAAGCGCCATACACACTTGCATTCATCCACTTCAATCAAGTACATTCCACATGCATGTCCATCCAACTATCCACGACCCGCATAAACACGCCTCAGGTCCTCTCCCACAGCCCGCGTCAACACGCCTCAGGCCCATTCTCACAGCCCACGTAAACACGCCTCAAGCTCATTCTCACTGCCCGCGTAAACACGCCTCAGGCTTAACTTTCTTTCCAATGACCCGCGTAAATACGCCTCAGGCCTAACTTTCCTTCCACTGACCCGCGTAAACACGCCTAAGGCCAATTCAAATAATCACATACGCCACATCACACATTCATTCGAAAATCGACCACACGACAAACTAGCCAACCCAATCAAACCCATATTCAAGCATCAACTCACACTTAGATCATCACAAATCAACCCGCTATTCAACGCACTCGGCCCCTCAATCAATCACACCAAATTGGTCAGTAGACCACCACAATTCCACCTTCAATGCCTCATCAATTTTGCCCAACAACAACCACAAACTAAACACAAATCAAATATTAAATCACATGGACCATCACAAGTTAACCCGCCATTCAAACACTCCCAGCTCCTCATTCAATCACACCAAGCCGGTCCTTAGACCGCCACAACTCAGCCGACATTTTCTCATTAGCTCGGCCCAAACAAACCAACACGAACAATCGCCAATCGAACATTAAATCACAAGCGAACAGCTAATAAACTTGACATAAATTTTCAGCATTATACGACCTCCAAACCAGCCATAAAATCAGCAATAAACCACCTCGATTCAGTCCATACTCCGACCCATTCGTTCAGCCCGAACCAGCCCACAATTCAGCCACCAAATTTCGCTAAACGGCCACCAAATCCGCCCCGATCAGCCACTATATCCACTACACTCAGCCCACACCCAAACCCCTAAACAAGCCTAGCAATACCCATCATCCTAAGTTGTTGGGATTAGGAAGTCGCTTACCTCGACTTGAGCAAGAAAACGGACAAGGTCAGCGGGGACTCGCCGGAACAGCAGCGACAACGGCGATCGGCGAGGCTCTCGGCCACAGCCGGGCGGCAAGGAGCTCCGGCTGAGGCGGCAGCAGGGGCGAGCAGGGACCTCGCCGGAACGGCAGCAGCTCCGGCGACTGCTGGGCAGCGACGGCGACGGGCTGCTCAGGTGCGGCTGGATCCTTCGGGAGACCAAGGGAGAGGGGAAACAGTCGGGCCAGGGGGTCAGAAGCAACGGAAGTCGGCTCCGGGCCGCACGGCGGACGGACGGGCGACGGGAACAGGACAGGGGAGGGCGGAATAGGGGATGGGGCGGCAGAGGGTGGTCTTGCCGGAACAGCGGCGGCGACGGCGGCTGAGGGGGAAGCTGGGTGGCGGTGGCGAGCCGGCGAGGGCGGCGGTGACCAGCAACGACGGCGGCGACCGGTCGGTAGGGCGCGGCGACGGCTGGCTGGCGAAACAGGGGAAGGGAAGCCAGAACAGGGGAAGGGGAAGGAGAGAGGGTCGCGGCGGCGATGGCGCGGCCGACGGCGGCGCGGCGAGCTGCGGTGCCGAGCGACGGTCGGGCGGTGGGCAGCAAGAAGTAGGAAGCAGAAGCCCGGCCGGAATAGGGGGGGAAGGCAGCAGCGACAGTGGCGACTGGCGGGTGACCGGCGAGCGGCGGCTTCGATAGGCGACCGGCGAGTGGCGGTGCCGAGCGACGGCGGCGGGCTCGGCCAGAAGGGAAGCAGGGCAGCGGCGGTGAAGGGGAAGGAGGAAGATGAAGGAC